AAAAACTGGAATATCACATAAAAGACGTGCGAATAAAGCAGCGCTTCCATCCAACGAATCAAAGAAAACAAAACCTTATGTTTGATAAGAGCAATCGTCTTCTTATCAGTGTCTTGATTCTGATGCTGTATAAGCTTTTGGACACATGCATATGAATATGTTAACTATAAGCTTAACTGTAGAATGCAGAAACTTCATTCAGAAACCCAATGTCCACTGATCGGGTTAAGTAGCCCTTGTTACACATATTGTCCTAATATGCTATACATCAGTCATTGTCATAATTATTTAAGGATATAAATGAAAACAGCCTCTTTATTTGAATAACCATTCAGTGTGTGTCTCCAAAACCATTGTTAACCAGCTAAAGTCACAAGTTCTGTCGTTACAAACATAGTTTGTTGATGTGCCGTTTCCCAAATCCGTCATTTTTGTATGCTTGCAACTACACCCTTAGAGCTGTAGTTAGAAGCATAGTTTCTGGTTGTGTTCTATACATAGTTATGCCTCCTATGCCCTATTAATTTCTAATGTTCCAACATTTAAGCTTGAAATGATTAAAAAACTAACAATAAGTTCATCTCTTTTAGGTGTAATTTGCTTTCAAAGTACAGCAATCTTTATATTGACAATTGCAGTGCACTTGAAATACATTTTGAACACAGCCGTGGCTCATGACGAAAGCTATTATTTAAATGCGGAATTTACGTTATATCTCCAAAGCTTGTGAAAACTAAATATATAGCATTCGTTAATGCTTTTAATTTATATGAGGCTATTTATTAAGAAATGTATAGCCTACTGACATGGGCCTAGTGGTTAGATCATTTCTGCAGTGGTTTGAATGTGTCAAAGTTATAAAAGTAGACTTTTCAAAAAAAGCAAAATGAAATAAATACATAAATAAACAATAAACTACTTAATAATAATAATAATAATAACAATTATAATAAATTAATATAAATAAATTAATAATAAAAATATACTACTACTAATAATAATTATTATTAAGTAAGATTTTTTTCTTTTTTTTATTAAATTCCCTACTGTAAATTACAGCCATTAATAACTTATAATGGTTCGTTTTTTAGTAAGTTAGATTAAGATTTAAAGTTGGCATGAAAACAATCTTTTATTTGCACACGTTTGTAATTTATTTTTTAGTAAATTAGCAACTTTGTATTGAAACATTGCTGATTCTGCTATGACTATAACTGCCTATACCCAGCTAGCAAAATTCATGTGGCTCAGATCCGGCTCACACCAGACACTTACATCCGGCCCACATACCGCATGGAATGATGGCTCTAGGGTGGTCCACTCCTGTTTGCCAGATCTGGGCCACAAATAAGCCAAAGCAATTTCACATATCAGCCAGAATTCAACCAAAATAACCAGAACTGACCCTATTCTGGTCCACTATTTGCTTTTATTCAGGCCCAGATCTGGCGTACACCAGACATCTGCATTCCAGTATGAATACATCATATATCTTTTTGATGCTCCAGATTTCATGATTTGCTTTTGATTAAGCTGTTTATTGTTGATTTTGACACTTTTAGTCTCCTGTTTGTGATGTTTGTGAGTTTTGTTCATTTTATTAATTGTCACCGTTGTTGAGGTTCATATGCTGATGTTTGATGTCTCTGTGAGCAGTAGTTGAACCATAGAATTTGTTTAGCATATAAACCTTCATAATTCTGTGGCATGTGCGTGCATGTTATTACGTTACTTCTAATAATGGATGAAACCTTGGTTAACATCAGTGTTATTATTAAATTATTACATCACAGGTTGTGCATCACTTAACTTTATTGTTTTTTTTTCCTTGGCTTGTTTTCAGTAAAGAATAAACTTCTCAAGCAAAGTTCTTAAAAGTTACAGCAGCCCATAAAGAACATTTATATTAAGATGTTCAGGGCTATGAGCCCAACTAAAGCAAACACTTTTCTCCATGATGGGGAATTTAGTCTATGTGGTCCACATTTGTTTTAGGATAACTGGGCCACATTTGCCATATCTTCGCTGGGGTGCTTTAGGCTCAAAACCACATTAGCCAGAGTTTACTGTGCCAAATATTTGCCAAAAGTGACCCACATTTGTTTTAAAATAACTGGGCCACATTTGCACTTACACATGTGAGCCACTTTAGGTTTAGACCCAGAATACCCTTAAATGTCTATGCCACACTTTTGCCAACTGTGGCCCACATTTGCCCTTCATCGTTTGGGTCAAAATGATTATTTTACACATGGGCCAAATTAGGCTCACATTCAGATTACATTTTGCCATAAGTGCCAAATCTTTGCCTTAAATGGCCCTAAAGTGGCCCACATTCATATGCTATTTTATGTAAGAAACTTAGCAAGTACATGTCAACTCACAATACTCAATCAGTATTTTGAACAAGCTGCAAAAGTCACTTTTTGAGTGTATGTTCACACCATTTTATTCAAGCTTAACATTGGTTTACATTTGTGGACTTTGTGATTTCTCATTAATGCACATAAAATTATAAATAAAAACATACTCTTAAAAATGATTTTTGCTGCTTGTTCAAACTGTTTATTTGAAACGAGCTAAAATATACTTGAGACTTTTGGGGGAACAAGTTAACTGTTTTATGCATGGGCGGAATTAACCAATAAGGGAGGTAAGCGGCCGCTTAGGGCCCAAGGAAATCTAGGGGCCCCCAAAAAATATCTAGAAGAAATTATACCTATAAATTATGTATAACCAACGCTATCTCACGGCAATTTGTAACTTTTTGATTTATTGGCTAATTCATATCAATTCATATGATCTAATTCAAATAATTTAGTACCATTTGCTCATCACCCAATGAGGTTGGATTTAGGGGTTGGGTGCCACGCCTTCTTTTTACAATTTCAACATTACTGGGTTGCAGCTGGAAGGGCATTCGCTGTGTACAAAGTATGCCGGAATAGTTAGTGGTTCTTTCCGCTGTGGGACACCTGATAAATAAGGGACTAAGTCAAAGGAAATGAATGAAAACTGCAGTAAACTAAGTTGGAAAAAAATGTATATTTTTAGGTGCAACAAGTTCAAGTAATTGGTTAGGTTTTCAGTTTCACAGTGAACAAGTTCTTCTTAAAAACAAACTTTAAAAATAAACATCAAAACAGAGAAAACAAAACAAGACTCCTACATTTAGTTCATCCCGCCTTATATAAAAATGTGTAACACATTAGTTTAATGTGTCCATGTAGGGCATGATCTGTGTACTTATAGTAATCACAATTCATTATGCAATTACATGCAACTAACCCTCAACCTAATCCACATTCTAACAATATACCAAGTACATGTAATGAATTAAAGTTACTCAGTAATTAAATTAATAGCGATACTTTAACAACCTTAAAAAAAAGTGTGACCAAAAAATAAAAAAATAATCATTTATATATCAATTATCTAAAAAAATTATCATTTGGATATTAATTATTTAAAAGCATAAATAATCATTTAGATATTAATTATCTAAAAAATATATAATTTAGATCTTATCTAAAAAAATTATTGAAAAATATTTAATAATCACTTAAATTACGTAAACGGAATAATTTCTCACTTCATTAAAGTTGTTTTTCACAATTCCATGAATTAAATGATTTAAAGTTGCTCAATAATTATGTTAATAGGGACACTTTAACAACCCTAAAATAAAGTGTGACCAACACCAAAAAGTTCATATAAGATAACATCTATATATATATCATCTAAAAACATAAATAATCATTTAGATAATAATTATGTAAAATAATTATGATCACTGAGATATTAATTATCTAAAAAAAATTATCATTTAGACATTAATTGTCTAAAACAATTATCATTTAGATATTTTCCTAAAAAATATTAAGATATTGATTATCTAAGAAAAATAATGATTAAGATATTAATTATCTAAAAAAATTCTCATTTAGATATTATTATCTAAACAATTATAATCATTGAGATATTAATTATTTAAAAAATCATTTAGATATTAATTATCTAAAAATAACTATCATTTAGATATTAATTATGTAAAATTATCATTTAGATATTAATTATCTAAAACAATTATCATTTAGATATTTTCCAAAAAACTATTAAGATATTGATTATCTAAAAAAAATAATGATTAAGATATTAATTATCTAAAAAAAATCTCATTTAGATATTATTATCTAAACAATTATAATCATTGAGATATTAATTATCAAAAATCAAAAATCATTTAGATATTAATTATCTAAAAAAATTTTCATTTAGATATTAATTATGTAAAAATGATCATTTAGATATTAATTATCTAAAAATACATATGATTTAGGTATTAATTATCTAAAACATAATTTAGATATTAATTATCTATAAAATAATAATCATTAAGATATTATCTAAAAAAATAATCATTTAGATATTTTCTATTAAAAAAAATAATCATTTAGATATAATTATCTTAAAAAATCATTTAGGTATTATATAAAAGCATGAATAATCATTTAGATATTAATTATCCAAAAATAATAATCATGTAAATATTGTCTAAAAAAATTATAATCATTTAGAAATTTTCTAAAAACATAAATAGTCATTTAGATATTATCTATCTCACAAAATAATCATTTAGATATTAACTATCTAATAAAATAATCATTTAGATAATAATTATCAAAAAAATAGATATTGTATAAAAAATCGTTTAGATATTAATTATCCCAAAAAAAAAATAATCATGTAGATATTGTCTAAAAAAATTATATTCATTTAGATATTAGCTAAACAAATATAACCATTTAGATATTATTCATTTGAATAATTAATTAATATTTAAATATCACTTAAATTAAATATAAACCCACTTGATGCAGTCAAATTTTAAAATTTCTTATTTCATTTACGTTGTTTTCCCATTTTATCGCAAAACTGTGTGTGAGAAAATCTGAGTTCTTAAGCTGTAGTTAAGCTGAAAGAACAGGATGTGTTCTTACCGTCTGCACGGCTTATCCAGACTCCACAGTGTGTGTGTTCAGCTGACCTCTTGGTACTGATCAATATTCCAGCCCTTTCTTATTCTTTTTTAAGATGAAAAAAAAAGTTTATGAAAAATCTTGGATATTCATTCACAGGATCCTCTGGAAATCCAGCGATGGTGAAAAAAATATCCAAATATCCTCATTCTGCTCTGACACCGGTGCAAAGTTTGAAGAAAGAGAATGTTCTCACAGACTGTACCAGCCTCAAATATCGAGTGTTTAGTAAGCCAGTCCTCAAAAATCCTCCAGAATCACATTTTTACTTTAGTATCAGTCATGAATTGTCATATTTTACCAACTTATTTCCATAAAACGAAGCATGACATAGAAGGAATCTGTATTGTGATGACTAACTAGCCCTTAAATAATGAGCTCGGTGAATAGAAACCCATTAGCTGTTCTCTCCACCAATGTTACACTTCCACACACACACACACACACACACACACACACAAAAACGAGCAATTAAGGGATCCGTCAACCAATGTGTCACTCAAAACACCCGCAAACTATTACTCATAAAAATACATATATGTAGATCTGAAGAAAAGCAGCTGTTCGTGCGCACGTTAAATGTTTACGGCGCAGGTTCTTGTCTCACATCCTTTATATACACAGCAATCACTTCCAAAACAGCCTCAAAAAGATGTTTATCCAACAGATTCCTCTGTAATGATTCATAAATGTGAGGAGAAGCTGCGTTGCCTCGAGTTGCGAGTCCTTACAGAAGCCAAAATCCCATCTTTGAGAGAGTGTTGCCATGAAGCCAGGACTTTTCTTCTACAGGAGCAGTTCTCCAAATCTGTATTCCATCAGTTTTCAAGTACGCGATATCTGCCCCATGCCTCATTACAGATGGAGATTACGATCCCAGAAATCAGCTACCTGTCCAACGTGTCCTCCTCCTTCTCGCCGAAAGTAGACGCCACCTTCTCCCTGATCCTTTCCACGCCAGAGGATTATCGGAGCCTTTGGCAGCTGCTACCTGCTGGTGCGCCACGTAATGAAGCAGCTCTGACAACTGAACTGAATTAAGCAGAGTGTTTGTTTCCACTGGTGTCAGACGGGGAATGAAGAGATGAGTATGGGGAAAGGGGTGGATGACCTGAGGAGAAGGAGGAGGAGTGGGGTGAGGGCGGATGGCATGTGCTTCATCCTTCGTTTACCTCCTCCTCCTGATTCTACACACACTCACACAGCAGCTCCACCTCCTGACTTTAGTGGACATTCACATATGCATCAGTGTGTGCTCGAGATGTAAACATTACTGCGAGGTCCTGCCAAAACATGTACTATTTTGTTTATTCCTTCAGGGTTCTTAGGGGTGGTGGAAATCCTTAAAAGCGCTTGAATTCAAATCTACTGTTTTTAAGGATTGAAAAATGTGTTGATTTAGTGATAACTAAAAGTTATGAAAGTTATGATTTGTGTCGGGACAACATGATGGAATTAAGTTAACTTACTCATTCATTCATTTTCTTGTCGGCTTGGTCCCTTTTTTAATCCGGGGTCACCACAGCGGAATGAACCGCCAACTTATCCAGCAAGTTTTTACGCAGCGGATGCCCTTCCAGCCGCAACCCATCTCTGGGAAACATCTACACTCACATTCACACTCATACACCACGATCAATTTAGCCTATAATTCACCTGTACCACATGTCTTTGGACTGTGGGGGAAACCGGAGCACCCGGAGGAAACCCACGCGAAGGCAGGGAGAACATGCAAACTCCACACATAAACGCCAACTGAGCCGAGGTTCGAACCAGCAATCCAGCAATCTTCTTGCTGTGAGGCGACAGCACTACCTACTTCGCCACTGCCTCGCCAACTTAACTTACTAGTTTTTACAAATTAAAGTGGATTGAACATAAAACAATTAAGTTGTCACCCGAGAAAAACAAGAATTGTGTTGTTTCATCTCATTATAAATAAAGAGTTGGAACAAATAATAAGAAATTGATATATTTAAATAAAAATAAAATTCATACATATGCTTTTGCATAACATCAAAACCAAGTTTATCTGACACTTAAAGTTAAACAAAACACTTTTAAAATTAAATATGACATATTTAAGACGCTGGAAACGGTTTATGGCTGTTTCCACTGTCAAAAGGTACCTAAAAGCGAACCGTACTGTACCACTTTTTGGGTACCCTTTGCACATAGCACAGCAAAAGGGTACCAAAAGGAGAAGCTAGACGCGCACTGAACGCTATTGGTTAAGAGAGATACGTCACTGGAGCATACACAAGTGGAGAATTAAAACAAAGAAACCACTGTTTTTAAAAACACAGCGTAATCGTAATAATAAATGCATATAATAACGAGCCATGGTTGACTCGAGCTCAAACAAGCCTTGCCGTTGTCTTGATGTACAGCCACAAAGCCAAGAAAAACAGTCGTAAAAAAAATCTGCCGTATCCAGTTTTTGTTTTACCAAGCCATCTAAAAGTGCGAGCGGTTTCACTTTCTCTAGGAGGCTCGTGATCGCTTGCATGAATGTCTATATTTGAAATATCAAACTTCTTGAGTTGATGATAATAATGTGCGATTGATTATTGAAGTGCTTCTGACATATGATCCTTTCCACGTAACCAAGCAGGAATTTTTAAAACGTAAAAAATTACCTGCAAGATATTTGCATATTAAGTTTTAAAAGATTTTGTTTAGACTTGGTCTCTCATATTTATTGTAAACTGATAAAAATGTGCAGTTGTCTAAACAACATGAAATCAAGGCAGATGAGTTTAACAAAATATAGTAAATGTTATCAGACTTAGTATTTATCTAGTGTCAACATAACAAACAATTCATAGGAACAAGTGTCAAATCTCTGCTCTAACTGGTCAAACTGCTAAAAAAGGTAACAGGAAATAAGTGTTTCCAGTGAAGCCATATCAATAATCTAGAACCTTTTATAATGAAGTTTTATCTTGTGTTTCTGCTATTTTTTCTTTTTACAAGGAAGTAAGATTTCCTGTCAGGGATTCATTCTCTGCTTTAAGAAAATATCAAAATGAAACAAAGGGTTGTAAATGGTAAAACTAATGGCTGAAAACCAGAGTAATCAAGTACACGAACAACTTAAAGGTGACATAAAATGAAAATCTGGATATACCTAGGTGTAGTTGAATTATATTGGTTCAGTAGATGGAAATGGCCATAACATGAGCCTCAAACACTATTGTTTCCTTATTCTGTTGAAAAACTGGCCAATCAGAACAAAACACCTACTCTGACGATCCACAATGGATCATTAATATGCCTTCCTCAGGCTGTGTTAGATTGGTCACAATAGTTCCTAATCCTAGTGAGATTACAATAATGATTTTTTTAGGTTTATCTACACTGAAAACGATTATTCATTGGTTTTACTAAAAAACATTTAAGTGATTGCAAGTGGGCTGAGTTTATGCAAACAAATTTTAAATTTAAATTGAACATTACTAAATTTCAGTGTAGCTTGTATTATACTTATGTTTGTGGGACTCCTATTTTGAAGGGGTCATAGCATGCATTGATACAACATGTTTAATTGTTCTCTGATATTTACATAGAAGGCGTGTGGATCAGGTAAGTGCAGAAAATCTCCCAAAATGGTTTTATATGTCCATTTACATCCCTAGGATTTGCCCTTAGAAAAAATGGCCTGTTTTACCTTATTTGGAAAGGTCATGAATATTGCTGAAAAGCTCTGCTCTGATGCTGATGGATGCTTCTGAGCGCGGCTCATTGATTAGCTCACACAACAAATAGATATCTGCTGTCAGCTGTGAATTCAAGAGTTGTGATGGGAGTAACAGTGCCATAAATAAACACGTTACTAACCGGGATATTTTGTTTAGTAACGAGTAATCAAATGAATTACCGTTTTCCCTGTTACAATGCTGTTAACGTTACTGACAACAAAATGCTTAGTACTATAATTGAGATCACTGAAACGTTTTTTATGCGAGCACACGCGGGAAACAAAACCAATGATGATGAATGGTGTGTTTGTGAACATGTTGTAACTGAGAACATGATGATTGGCTGATATAGAGTACATTTCCATCGCTTGCCAATCAGAGCTCTAGATCACACAAGCACACGCACAGTCAGTCGCACACACCAACCACCAGGAGTCAGAACGATGACGGATCCAACAAGTTCAAAGGTAAAGTTTGCAAACTGGAAATATAAGCACTACTTTTTCCTCGTTGAGGTGAAAGGCAAGAATGTTTATGTATTGTGCAACTTATACCCAGGAAAAAAGGAGTCTCTCTGTGTCAGTGCCGAGTAATTCTAATCTAATGAAGCGCCTCACGTCTTCACTTGCCACCACAAAATTAATGGCTATGCAGGTGATAACGTGAGCTCTGCTACCAAAGGGGGAGACGAAGCCATGACGTCAAAACAAATAAAACTTCACTTTCTCCCTCGCAAACACTTATTACTTGGACAGAATTAAACAAAATAATATCTAGATATATAGCTGAGGACATGTCCTTGCCTTTTTCATTGTTCCACAACTAAACATTCATTCATTCATTTCTTTTCAGCTTAGTCCCTTTATTAATCTGGGGTCGCCACAGCGCAATGAACCACCAACTTATCCAGCATATGTTTAAGCAGCAGATGCCCTTCCAGTTGCTACCCATCACTGGGAAACATTCACACACACACTTCATACACCACGGTCTATTTTAGCATACCGAATTCACCTGTACCACATGTCTTTGGACTGTGGGGGAAACCGGAGCACCCAGAGCAAACCCATGCAAACGCAGGGAGAACATGCAAACTCCACACAGAAACACCATCTGACCCAGCCGAGGCTCGAACCAGCAACCTTCTTGCTGTGAAGCGACAGCACTACCTACTGCAACTCTCATTAACTTTAGTTCACCCGAAATAAAATTGCACTAACCCGTTGTGGCAGGGTTCCAGTTGTTTTTCTTTTTTTCTCTTATTTAATACAGTAAATGTCATGTAAAAAATACCCCCAAAAAGAAATATCTGATCATAATTTATGCCATTGTTTACATTACATTACACTATGTTTTTTTTTTTTTAAATGAGACTGAAGTTTAATAAAGTAAATACAAAGTTTTAATGACGTTTATTCTGACCTGGCTCAATAAATCTTTTGTCTGTTTGGTTTTAAATCATGGGTAAAAATTTAAGACAATAATTCTTTGCTCTTAAAAATATGAAATAAAAACACATTCTAAGCTAAGAAAACCAGGACGCTGTATTATCAGTTTTATTGTTTTGATCCTTAAAAGCCTCTTTTCGTTCCTGACCAGCATACAAAGGAGTGACGGCTAAATGAGGGGCGTTGCAATTCTGTGGATCTACGCTAAGCTTTTCTGAAGCCATAAATGTTTTGCAAGGACAGCAAGTAAACCTGATGATGTTAAAGTGAATGACAGCCTCCAAACCTTAACACAGAGGGACAGTCAAAGCCCTAAAATGCTTAAGTACTCCACTATTAGACACTATAGACAAGGTATATACAGCTGGATTAAATCAGCACTCTCTCCCAGACAAGTCTTGATTCGACATGTTTAACTCATTATTTATCGAACACAATCTATACAGAAAGCAACGGGTTGTTTATTACAGTCCCCATAGAAACTAATTTAGCCTGATGACTGATCCCTGGGGAGTGCCGTTAAACCATTTTAGTAGACACAGGCCATTGTGAACACTGTCCATTCATAAATTCTTTTTACAGTTATGGGATGGTGGTGGTTGTGGGTTCTGTGTGTGCAGGAACATCCCAAACAAGGATTTCCTCTAAATATATTTGCTTTAAAAAAAATAACATAATCACTAGTCTTTCTGTTTCTGAAGGAACAGTCCAGCCCAAAATGTAAGTTCTGTCATTGTTTACTCACCCTCATGTTGCCCATATGGTTTTCTGTTGGTGGCTGTCGATCTGCTGATATTCCAAATCCTTCATGACAATTTTGTGTTGGGGAGAAGACGGAAATTTACACGTGTCAAGACGTGTTGTGCCAGTTTTGACATCAGTGATGGTCACGGGTAACTGACGTCAAACCTGGCGTTCATCTGAACGGCAAGCAAATGCGATTTTCAATAAAAAATTATGAAGATTGAAGCCTATGGCTCAGAGAACGTGGAATTT